AGACAGGATGTGACAATCCTCTCACCGGTATATCGCTACTATCATGAGAAGGGATCGGATGAATTGCATTCTTTAGATCCACCTATTCCAACCTTCTAAGCGAGGACCAACCAGACTACGCGCATTGTAGCGAAACACCCCCACTCCTTCTGTATTCTATTAGTGAGAAGAAAGTTCCACTCGAACAGCTTCTTCCCGCGAACTACTGCTTTGAGAAGCCGCCTTCCGAAAGGGTGCTTACCGATCACTACCGATCTTAATCTGTCCAAATCTAGGATTAACCGTTATCTTCCCCACATATCCGTATAAACTGTTCCTTTTACTCTGTAATCATCTATCACATCGATTAAAACAATTTTCAACAGAAAAAGCAGTGGACAAACCAAAATAAATCCCTTCAAAAGACTCCAGAATTTCAACGTGTCCATAAAAGGTCGACCGAAAAGTGGCCTGGGGAGCGTCAGTATAAAAATATTCATTTTTCTCCCTGACGGGGCAAGGCTTTATACAGCGAGGATACATGAGGGGAAAAAAATGGAACTCGGTTAGTCTGTTCCCTCACACCGATCATGTCCACCAGACCTTGTCTAACCGGTTATTACCTTTTCCGATCGGTGTAAAATATTTTCGTGGGGAAAGGGGTTCCTAATTAAAACTAGATTCAAAAGTTCGTCGAAAAAATTTTTTTCACATCAAAACCTGCGGAATTTTACTCAAAAACTATGGAAGATCTGCTTGATAAATGGCAACAAGCTATTGTAAATAATGGTGAATACAGAATTGAATGAAATGTAACGTATTCTTTTGAATAATAAATTCTGTAATTTATTATTTTGAAGAATAATTTTGAAGAATTTTTTGATAAAAAAAACCGGAAATTATTTATGACTCAGAACTAATATATATAGCGATTTCCTAAACGCTGCTTGGATGTGTCACAAGGCCGGAACTAATATATATATATATATTATGGATAGATTAAAATATAAGTCAAGCCGGAATCTTTGCATCTTTCTCTTTCTTTCTTTCTTTCTTTCTTTCTTTCTTTCTTTCTTTCTTTCTTTCTTTTCTTTCTTTCTTTCTTTTCATATTATTCTCCGCATTTTCTTTTCTTTTTCTTTCTTTTTTTTCATATTCTACTCTGCGCCTTTCTTTCTTTCTTTTTCCTTTCTTTCTTTGCATATTTTTTTCTTTCTTTTTTTCTTATTCTCTGCCTTTCTTTTCTTTCTTTCTTTCTTTTGCATATTTCTTTTTCTTTCTTTCTTTTCATATTATTCTCTGCGCCTTTCTTTTCTTTCTTTCTTTCTTTTCATATATTTCTCTGTCTCTTTCTTTCTTTCTTTCTTTTTTCTTTCTCTCTTTTTATTTTCATATTCTTCTCTGCCTCTTTCTTCCATTTTCTCTCGGCAAAACTTTTTCTGACAATCGAGAGCCTTTCTCTCATTTTGTGTTTTCATATTCTTCTCTGCCTCTTTCTTCCTTTCTTTTTTCTTCCTCTCTTTTTATTTTCATATTCTTCTCTGCCTCTTTCTTCTTTCCTTTTTTCTTTCTCTCTTTTTATTTTCATATTCTTCTATATTGCATATAGATTAAAATAGGCTATTGCAAATGAAGTTAAAGACAAAATATCCGAGATACGAACCAGCATTGCGGGAAACCTCAATGGCCAGTGCTTCGACGTCCTATCAACATACCGCAGACAGAATGAAACAGGGACATATCCTCTATTATGCCTTGTTTCAACCAATATAACATTCTCATTACACATATTCTTGGTCCTTATTCAGTGGTCCTCGAAAAGCCTAGAGGCTAATGCCATAAATAGCACCTCAAACGACAGGATATACATCTAAAGACACAGGTCAGATAAAGATTCCTTCATCTGACAAATTTATCACACACTAGGATGACAATTTACATCATCTTTCATTTGTTTGTTTTCATTCATCTTTCAGTTTTTCTACATTTTCTTATTCTTCGTGAGTTCGTCCTGACTTCATTCATTATTCTATTTGGTCTCTTCGTTTTGGATAATACAATTAAGCGCCAAGAATTGGATCATGAATTGTACAATATTACGCGTCAAGAATAGATAATCCCCAGTTTCTCAATTCCTTCTCGACGAAGATGGAATTTGACGGCCCCGATAGTTTCAATTGGACGACTGTAGACTTTAAGGTTAATTGGGCCTGACAGAACCAAGGAATGGTAAACATATATTCCGGGCAGTCAAACTGAAGAAAAATCTGTAAAGCTACAACCACGGTCGGAGAAATGACTGCTGAGAAAAGAGTCCATGGGACGGTAAAGAGAACCTGGGATATGTACTTGTAAAAAGATTCCTTCAGTGATAAAAAGGGGAGACAAATCGATCACTGACGCATTCACTCCAGCGGCCTCATGTTTTAAATTCAAGGGACAGCCTTCTTTCAGTCAATGAAAAATAAAAAATGAGTTATTTTCCAGTCAAGTTTTCACATCGTCGGCGTTTTTAGTTGTGATGGTTTTTGTTGACATGCATGTCGTCTGGTCACACGGCTCTGTCACTTCCGTAATCTGCACCTTCATAAATAGTGATGTGTTGCAATCGCCGGCTTTCTTTCTCTATTCTTTTCTTTCTTTTATTCTTTCTTTCTTTCTGTTATAAAGTACGGAGAACGCTCGTAGCTCTGGTTGATAACACTGTAAGGGAACACGGGAATAAATGGTTGAGTGAAGAACTGCTTTAATGATATTGGAGACATGGATTAATAATACAGTAATGGAGGCACGGTGGAGGAATCGAAGAGCCGAGTTCGAATTCCAGTTGGATCCATTACATTCACTTACTAGCCTTGTAAATAGTAGGAGAGACTTTGCTGGCAACCGGTCTCGGAGGAGGAAAACTCTGAATTCAAACCGGCCTAAACAACACATCTAATGCCCCTAATGGCTCCGTAGTTCAGTGCGACAATGCGTACGACTCAAACGTTACGCCACTTTGCGACGACCGTTTCTCTGAGCAGACGTTCTATTTATAACGGATGGACGAGTCCATATTTAATAATTAGGGTAGAGATGGTCGTTCGTCTTTCTACACAACGCTTGCTTTCTTTACAGCTTATTTTCTGCATCTTTCTTTTCTTTTTCTTTTTTATCTTTCTTTCTTTCTTTTCATATTCTTCTTTGCATCTTTCTTTTTCTTTCTTCCTTTCTTTCTTTCTTTCATATTATTCTCTGCGCTTTTTTCTTTCTTTCTTTCTTTCTTTCTTTCTTTCTTTCATGTTTTTCTCCGCGACTTTCTGCCATTTTTCTTTCTTTTTCTTTTCATATTCTTCTTTGCATTTTTCTTTTTCTTTCTTCCTTTCTTTCTTTCTTTGTTTCATATTATTCTCTCCGTCTTTCTATTCTTTTTCTTTCTTTCTTTTCATATTCTTCCCTGCGTCTTTCTTTTCTATCATATTCTTCACTTCGCCTTTCTTTCTTTCTTTCTTTCTTTCTTTCTTTCTTTCTTTCTTTCTTTCTTCTTATATTTTCAAATCACCTTTATGTCTTTCTTTCTTTATTGCTTCTCGTTGATTCTTTTTTCCTGTCTTTATCCATTTTATATTCTTTCTTTCATCTCTTTCTTTCTTTCTTTCATCTCTTTCTTTCTTTCTTTCTTATATTTTCACATCACATTTATGTCTTTCTTTCTTTATCGCTTCTCGTTGATTCTTTTTTTCCTGTCTTTCTGTCTTTATCCATTTTATATTCTTTCTTTCTTTCTTTCTTTCTTTCTTTCTTTCTTTCTTTCTTTCTTTCTTTTATATTATTTTTTCTATTTATCTATCTTTTCTTTCGTCCTCCAATTCCCCTTTCTTTCGTTTTTTTCACAATTTTTCTTTCTTTCATACAAAAAGACACACATTCATTCCTCTTACGAATTTTTCACGTTTCTTTTTTTCCCATACATCCAACAAAACAATTTAATTTATATTTATAAATACGCCTTCTAAAATATTAAGATATTGGAAAATCAGCTTACAACCAAAAAAGAATACTGAACTGTTACGTAATATCAGTCCTCCTATATCGCAGTGAATGCTGGACAATCTCCTCACAGATGAAGAAGAGATTTGAGGCAACAAAAACAAAGAGAAGAGTGCTGGACTCTTATGTAATATAATTCCTGCTATATGGCAGTGAATGCTGGACAATCTTCTTACAGATGAAGAAGAGACTTGTGGCTTTACATAAAGTTGCTGAGAATACCATGGAAAGAAACATGTAAACCATGAGGAAGTTTTAAGTGGAGTAGAAACAAAAAAAGAATACATACTTAGAATCAGAAAGAAAGAGGTGAACATTCCGAAGCACACTATGAGGAAAAGGGGCTTAGAGAATTTGAAACTCACAGAATATTGGGAGAAGTAATGATTCGCCTAACTGACGAATTTGTATGACTAAATGGTACAGCGGGAAGAAGAAGAAAGAGTCGAATGTTGTTTAGTGCAACAAGGCACGGGAAGCTGTGGAGAGCCATGATCACCCACATTCTGCGGAGATGCAAAAAAATAACGGATAAAGTATAACCAAGCTTTCGCTAGTACAATAAATTTAATCCTAATTATCTGTACCAGCAAATATAGACTCTTGCCAGGCTATAATAAGCAAGTAAATATCTATGCTTAACTATAATTTGAAGATAAACATAAAATTAATTACAATTACTTCTAAAACAATAAAATAATTAGTACAAAACAAAATAATAATAATAAGCTAAAATTTAAAGGATGAATTTACTCTATTACCTGTAATAATTGCCACAAGTAATAAACAGGAGAAACTTCAAGGAATTCGAATAAAAGATTATATGAACACAAAGGGGATCTTTTACAAAACAACACACTAAATGAATTCATTGCTCACCATGATGAGTGACCATAGTTTCGAATTAAAAATGTTACTTTAAAAGAGAAAGCAATTTATAAAGACAAAAATCTATAGAAAGATGTCTTGCTTAAGTTTGTTGTCTCTATAGACTGATATACAAAGGTGATGTTTACAGTTTAAGTTTACTATTATTCTATATATTTTCATAGGTATGGAAATGGTGATATTACCCGTTTCCCTACAAGGAAATATTTGTCAATTTTTGACAAAAATTATGAAGGTTACTCTGATTATTATGCATAAAATGCAAAATATTTTATTGTATTTGTATATTTACTACATAAAGGTCACTTGTTACCTAACCTGAGAAATTACTGACAACTTCTGCCTGATATATATATATATATATATATATATATTAGGAATGATCTAACGATTAAAGCACTTTCAATAGATTTTTGTCTTAGTAAATTGCTTTCTTTTTGAATTAGAGTAGCATTTTTTTTAATGAAAAACGGACGTAATTAAAGCAAAATAATAAGCTAGAATTTGAAGGAGGAATTTACTCTATCACCTGTAATAATTGCCACAAGGAATACATCGGAGAAACCTCAAGGAATTTAAATAAAAGACTATAAGAACACATAAAGGGATCTTTTACAAAACAACACACTAAATGCATTAGATGTACACCGTAATAAGTCTAATCATAATTTTGATTTAAAAAAATGCTACTGTAACTAAAAGAGAAAACGATTTTTTAAGATGAAATTATCTGGAAAGTGTTTTAAACGTCAGATCATCCACAGTAAATTTATATCCAGATTCATTACACCTTTCCTGTCAGATCGAATATCATGACAATGTGTGATAGTTAATAACTAAAGTGATGGAAACAAACAAAATAAAAAAACGGTTCTAAATAAAATCGGCTAGAATATATGTATACCCAAAAAGTATATTTATAAAAGAATTTAAAATTAAAATTCTCAACGATCTCAATTTCCTTCGTGCCATTGTGTAGCCACATTAACGTAAACATCACTTTAAATCCGATGAAGTCTTAAATGCCAAAATGAACCACGAGAAAACATTTTTTCCACTTTTCCCTTAAAATATATTCCTAACCAATTTCTTTCTTTCTTTCTTTCTTTCTTTCTTTTTTCTTTTTTCGTTTTCTTCATACTTCTTTCTCTTTTTCTATTCGTTAACCGTTTCCTCCTTTTTCTCTTCCCACGTATGATTTTAATACCTTTTTTCTTCAACTAGTCTATTTTAACATTTTTATATCTGATTTTGTCTGCCTTTCTCTCCCTCTCCCTCTCCCTCTCTTTCTCTCTCTTACTAAACGCATGCGCACAAAAGACTTGGGTGGGAGACAACAGCGGAAGACTAGTCCTATTGATTCTGACATACACCTGCAGAGGTATGACATCAATTATAATTTACAAAAATATTTTTTGAAATTTAGCAGATGGCTCAACAGACCAGATATTAAATTTTCGACAGAAAACGTAAAGAACGCGTGTGTAGATTTAAACCTCTTTTATTTTTATTTTTATTTTAATATTTGATGTGATTTCACTTATTTTTGTATTTGGTGTATGTAATTTGCTTTGGTTGGTTCCAGCAATGTCGGATAATAAAACAGCTTTTATTTTTATGTCGTTGGAAACTCTCGTTAAATTGAGATTTTTTTTTCTATTGTAAATTGTTTCTATGCCATCTTTCCTTTTTTTTTTCATTTATTTACGGTGTTTTTTTATCCTTTTTTTAATTTTCTAACTCTTTTTTTTGTCTACCATCTGTTTTTCACCTTTCTTTCTTTCTTTCTTTCTTTCTTTCTTTCTTTCTTTCTTTCTTTCTTTCTTCCTTACTTTGACGGTTTTTTCTTCATCTTCTGCAATTCTTCCTAGTCATTTTGCCATCTTTCTTTTCTGGGTCGCTTTTACTTTACCATTTGCTGATCAGACTTTTCTATTTTTTTGTAAAATTTTTTCAGTATTTTGTTTGTTTCTTTCGTTTTTTCTTATTTATTTTTCTTCCCTGCTTCTCTGCCTTCTTTCTTTGAAAACTTTTTCTTTCTTTTTTTCTCATTGGTTCCTCTTCCCTTTCTCTTTCATTCTTTTGTTCTTTATTTGCCTATTTTTTCTGCCCTCTCTTTCTTTCATTATTTCTTTTTTTTTTCTCATTTGTGTTCCCCTTTTCTGTCTCTCTTTCTTATTTTTTTTATCTTCCTTTTGTTTTTTTTTTTCGTTTTCTTCTCTTCCATTTCTTTCTTTCTTTCATATTTGTTTCTTTTTCTTTTATTTCCTTCTTTCTTTCTTTCTTTCTTTCTTTCTTATTTGTTTCTCTTCGCTTTCTTTCTTATTCGGTTCTCTTCCATTTCTTTCTTTCTTTCTTTCTTTCTTTCTTCCTTTCTCTTCCCTTTTCTTTCTTATTCGGTTCTCTTCCATTTCTTTCTTTCTTTCTTATTTGTTTCTTTTTCTTTTATTTCCTTCCTTCTTTCTTTCTTTCTTTCTTTACTTTTCCTCATATAGTTTATGTTCTTTACTTTTTGTAAATTTTCTATTATATTTTCTAATTTCCTCTTTATTCTTCATTCTAGTGTTCTCCATACACTCTGTCTGTCTCTCTGTCCATCTGCGTATCTGTCTGTCTGTCTGCCTCTCTCTCTCTCTCTGTATATATATATATATATATATATATATATATATATATATATATATATATATATATGCACTGAATTTGTTTCTCTTATTTTTTAGATTTATTTACTTTTTTCAATCTCCAGTTTTTTTGCCTTTTAAACTAAAACAGACGCACTTCTTTTTTATTACAGACCTTTGCCTTTCATATAAAAGCTGTGTGTCTGTTTTAGAACCGTATAAAAAGCAAATACAAAATGTAAATAGCGGTGCCGCGATGGACATGAAGCCCAGGAAGCATCGAGCAGGAGGAGGAAGGGAATTTCAGTATTTATGTAAGCCAAACTCTGCAACAATTTGGTGAAAAAACCAGAATCTGAACTGGCAAAGTCCCCAAATCGCAGCAGACAAAAGGAACTGTTTTTTCCATAGGGCAAAGCTCTCAATGTCAGTGTTTGTTTGTCCGACTGTTTTTTGTTGTCTTCTTAACACATAAATGTAATCATTTTCATCTATACATGTAGTTTTTTGTTTAGAATGAACGTTTCATAATACTGATTACAGTTCTGTTATTCCCGATTATATACTTGACGGTTACGACACATGAAGATTGATATATATATATATATATATATATATATATATATATATATATATATATATATATGGCATATACGGAATGAATTCCAATAACCAACAATATATCTAATTATGTCTGGGTGCTTATGTATTATAATCTGATTGTGTTTTTGTTGTTATGCGCGTGAGTTTAAGACCACATTCACACACTTTAAAATAAAAAAGGAAAAGAAAAAAATATATATACATGTATTGTCAAATGACCGGATATATTGTAGCGTCTTGTCGAACGTAATTTCAATGAAGAAATGAATTGAATAAACATATATATTTTTTCTTTTCTCAATAATTTTGTAGTTTTTAAACTTAATAGTGATTAAATTTGTATTTTAAAATTGCCAGTTTTTAATTTTAATATTAAATTTTATCATATAATTTTATAATTATTGGTTAGTATAAATTGTTTTTAATATTACACGTATTTTAAAGATAGCTATTATAACATGATTTCGTTGTCAAGCTTTTGAATCTTTCTATACTTGGTTTTTGATTGGTTATTCTAGCTTTTGTAACAATGTTTCCCCCTAGTGTAGGATCGTTAATTAATCTGAAACTTTTAAAACCATTTATTTTATTTTCAACATCATCACTTGATAAGACACAGAGTGTGTTGAAACAAAATGGCTATTTTTGTAGTGATTTTATAACATACTTATGTTATAATTTTTTTATAAATAATAATTATATATTTATATATATATATATGTATGTATGTATGTATATACTAATAGTAATACTCGTTTGAAGAAAACCTCAGATAGCTCAACTTGTAGATATATCAAAACAAATCGTTAGCCGAGGAAGGAATTGAAAAAAAAAAAAAAAAAAAAGAATGAACTAAAAAAAACATCCGACCAGGGCGAAATAAATCGTCCAGTTCCTTAAGTCTTTAGTCAAAAAAAGAAAAAAACTAAGCGAGTAGTAAGAGTAAAATGGAGAGTGCTCAATACGCTAAGTAGAGCGGGAATAACTAAAATAAATCCTAAAAATCCAGGAAAACCTACCTAGGTTTCATCTAAACGAATCCTGTCTTATTTATCAATCTTACTTTATACAAAAACGGAAACAATGTATTAAAGTTTAAAAAAAAAACAACAGAAGGACGCCATCTTAAATACCAGCGACGCTCCTTTCGTTTCATTGTCGTAAACGTAATGTATATAATCGAATATAACCGAAATATAATCAGAAACATAATATATATATATATATATATATATATATATATATATATATATATACAGGGTGTCTCAAAATAATGTATACACTCTTAGAATCGTTATAACTTCAATTTATGTATTTTGACTATAAGATTAATACAAGAGAAAGAATACACATTTAAAGAATTTGAGAAAAAAAGAAAAAACATAGAAAATTAACTTTAATTAGATAAATGCTACTTGAGGCAATGGCAGAATGTTCATATAATGATGAATTCGCATCAAGTGCTCAAAATGGTTGCCGTTCTGTTCAATACACTTTTCATATCTTGAAGAAATCGACCTACAAACGTCCAGTATCATTTCCTCTGATATTTGAGCACATTCCTCTTCAATTGTTACTCTCATTTCAGCAATTGTTTCAGGTTTCCTGCTGTAAACTTTGTCTTTTAGAAACCCCCACAAAAAGAAATCCAAGGGTGTCAAATCTGGTGATTTAGGTGGGTATACAACTGACCCTCTTCTTCCAATCCATCTGTTTTGCATATTTTCATCCATATAAGTTCTCACATCACGCTAATATATTATTAACTATTAATATTTAATGTATACATTATTTGACACACCTATATATATATATATATATATATATATATATATATATATATATATATATGTGTGTGTGTGTGTGTGTGAAAATATATAGAAAGATAGGAAAGGACATGTTATTTTTTCTTTTAAACAGTGCTCAATACATAAGTAGAGCCTAAATTACAATTATTTTTTAAAAAAATATGATTGCATCCTTACTTAAGAGTTCTCATGTTTCAAAAACAGGGGCTAAAAACTTCAATTTAATTATAAAGATTAAATTGAATTAAAGTATCAAGCTCTGTTTCTTCCAAAAAATTCGCTTGAAGATAAAACATATTTTTAAAAAATAATTATAATATATATATATATATATATATATATATATATATATATATATCCGATGCGATGAGAACGAAAGTAATATATAAATCCCAACGTTCACAGCATTAATCCAAAAGATGGCTCGATACCGATAGTAGAGCGCTAATTATTTCTTTGTTATAATTTTATCATATAGACAAAATCATTTTACTCACTACAAAGATGCAACTTCGTTTCAGTGCATTTCAATTGCACTTCGACGGGTGAGAATCGAAAATGGAGAACCATTTGTGAAATGCACTGAAACGAAGTTGCATCTTTGTTGTGAGTAAAATGGTTTTGTCTATATGATAAAATTATAAATATATATATATATATATATATATATATATATATATATATATAGTTTAAGCATTACGCATTACGAGCAAGGCGTGAAGCCACTAGGATGCAGGGGGGTTGCGGAAGATTTGGAGCGAGCGGATGGGAGTGATAGAAGAAAGGATGAGGAGAAGGATAGTGGGTAGATCAAGGTAACTGGAGGTGTTGATTGACATTACATTTGAATAGTTGGAGATTATAGCTTTCAGGGAAACAATAATTGGGAAGGGTGTTCCACTGGCGAGAGGTGCGAGGTATGAAGCTATTGGAGTAGAAGAGACGGCTACATTTAAAATTTTCTATAGTGTAAGGGTGGGAGCGCGATGCCAGCCTCGCAGGGCGCTTGAATTCATGGAGTCTGGGAACCAGTGAAAGCAGCTCATCGGAGCAATTATATATCGGGTGTAACAGCAAAATTGTCCAATTCTCATCTTAAGCTTTGACCTGTTGTACCTTACGTGTGATTAAAGATATCTGACTGGAATTCTCCGAGGCTTTATAACACTACTGGACTCTACGTTTAACAGTAATATTGTATTTAGCTCTAAGTTAAAATGATGATCCCTCTTCCAGTTGTAACATCCTGATCCAGTTATCCTCTTTACTGTTCACACTTTTTTTTTAATATATTCACCGTTCTCTTGATGGTTCTTGAGTGAACTTTGAAGATGGATGACAGAATATGAATTCTGGTGCCATTACCGAAGGCCTGAAAGATGATTTCTCTCACCATTTCTCAGCTGGGAGGACATAGTGCGACTGAGACAAAACAATTTTAATCTGTTCTCTTTGTATCTGATTAATTCAAAGTTTTATTTTTCAGCGATTCTTACAACAAATGGTGGGAAGATGGCTAAACGCCTTATCTGAAAATTTCGAAAAAAAGAAACTCAATTAGAGTAGTGGTTCTTTAGATATTAAACATTTTGTGGGATAGACAATTATCGCATGCTGTTATACGATTTTACTGTTACACTAGGCATATATATATATATATATATATATATATATATATATATATATATATATATATAGGTATAGAATTGGTGTATACGGAATAAATTCCAATTACCAGCAAATAATATTCTTCAAAGAGTGCTCAATACAGAGTAGAGCAAATATAATTATTTATTCAAAAATTATAGCATAAATATGTTATAAAATCACTACAAAATAGTCATTTTGTTTCAACACTTCTGGTGTCTTATCAGGAGACGTTGTATAAATCTTAGCGCAGTTTGGACTGACTATCGTAAAGCCTTTGATAGTGTGCCACACTCTTGGATCCTTAAAACTTTGGAAATGTACAAAGTTTCCTCTGTGATAGTAAATTTCCTTAAGCACAGCATGGGAATGTGGAACACCATACTATACCTAAATCACACCAGAGGCACTGCCATCTCCAACCCTCTGAATATCCGACGAGAAATCTTTCAAGGAGACCCCCTCTTACCCCTTCTGTTTTGTTTGTCCTTAATCCCCCTTACGCATGAACTAAACATTAGTAGCTGTGGTTACAAACTAGACAAAAAATATTCAATCACCTACTCTACATGGATGATCTCAAACTCTTTGCCAAAAACGACAATGAGTTGAAGGGCCTCCTCAATATTGTAAAATGTTTCAGTGACGACATAGGTATGGACTTCGGATTAGATAAATGTGCAAAAGCAATATTCAAGAGAAGGAGAATTATAGAAACAACCTCAACAGATTTAGACTTTGTCACAAAGATTAGGGAACAGGAACAAGATGAAGCCTATAAGTACCTAGGAATTAGTGAAGGAGATGGTATACAACATACCCAGAAGAAAGGTAAGAAAGGAGTACTACAGGCGTTTGTGTCTGGTACTAAATACCGAGTTGAACTCAAACAGAATATCAGGCATAAACACCTTGGCTGTCCTTGTGGTGCAATACAGCTTTAAAATCCTTAATTGGCATTGGAATTAAGCGAATAGACGCCAAAACGAGAAAGCTTGTCACTTGCTACCGCATTCATCATCCCAACGCTGATGTTGATCGTCTGTATGTTCCCAGATCCGAAGGAGGCAGAGGATTAGTTCAACTAGAACTGTCCTACAAAACTACAACAATTGGCTTTCAAAGATATCTGGAAACCACTGAAGACTGGATGATGATATGTGTCAAAGAACATGGAAGTGGTAAGCGCCTTTATTCTGTAACAAATGAAGCCAACAAGTTCAAAATGGAGTTTGAAATGGATGCAGAAATACATGTAAAGCACAATACACCGATTGATACACAAAATATCAGGTTGCACGGTATTGACACTCACTGAATATAAAACCCGGCATGACAGAGTTGGCCAATATCTGCACTGGAAAATCTGTAACTTCTACGGGAAGGAAACTGAAACAAAGTGGTATGAACACCACCCAGACCCCGTTACGGAGATAGAATCTGCTACAATTCTATGGGACTACACAATACACACTGACGGAATAATCAAAGCCAACCGCCCAGACATTGTTATTAGAGACCACAAACAAAGTACCTCCTTATTGATATCGCAGTCACTGCGGACTGCAATGTATCTTTGAAGATCTTCAAAAAGATATCAAAAAACAAGGACCTTGAAATCGAAATCTCAAAAATGTGACACATGGGAACTTCAACAATCCTTGTTGTAGTTGGAGCCATCGGATTGGTTGGAAAAGATTCCAGAAGACTAATTGAATGGATTCCTGGAAGCCCATGCCTTAAAGAAATACAAAATATTGTTCTCATGAGTACAGCCCACACCTTACGAAGGGCTTTGTCTATGTAAATTTTGTTTTTTTTTTCCAGTGGAAAATGTCATGATGCCATTTCTAACCTTAGTTCCTTTGACGGGACCCGGAAAGAAATGAGTACACATCAGAAATTAAAGGAAATAAAATAATAATAAAAATAAAATAATAATAATAATAGTAATAATAATAATAATAATAATAATAATAATGATTACAAGTACAGCTCATACATTACGAAGAGCATTATCTAGGTAAAATGGGTGTGATCTCCGGGTTTTTGTTTTTTGATCCGTAGAAAATGTCATGAAGCCATTTCTGACCTTAGGTCTCTGGTTGGGACCCGAGAGAAAATGTATACAGCAAAAATCCAAGGAATAATAATAATAATAATAATAATAATAATGTGAAGAATATGTACGTACAGTAAATGTTATCACTCCATAGCTGAGAAAGTTGTAATTCCTAATTATTCTGCATTTTACTGGTTACATTTCTCAACACGTCACCTCAACTTGTTACCATTCCCTGACAGATTCTCATTGATAACTTCGATACTGATTTTAATTATCCTTTATTTACTGCTCTTGTGTTACTCTCCATTCTTTTCTATTTTTTTCTCACTTGGGTGTTTCCTCTTACCTCTTTCATTTTCCAGTTCACCATTATCGTTCGTTTCTTCCATTATTTATTTTCAACTGTCAAGTCTATTTTTCCATCCTTTCTTTTTATGTTTTATTTTATTTTATTTACTCTTATCAATCAATTTTGTTATTTCATCGGTTTTTGTTTATATACTTTCTTTTTCCGGATCCTCCTCCAGCATTCTTTCTTTCTTGTTTGTTTATTTGCTACTATCTTCCTTCCTTCCTTCCTTCCTTCCTTCCTTCCTTCCTTCCTTCCTTGCTACTTTCCTTCCTCCCTTCTTTCTTTCTTTCTTCCCTTCCATCTTTCTTTCTTTCTTTCTTTCGTACATATTTTTGTTCATCTTTCTTTATTTCCTCCCTCCTTCCTTTATCCCTCCCTCCGTACATATTTCGTTCTTTTTATTTATTTATTTCCTTTTTCTTTCTTTCTAGTTATTTCATCTATCTGTATTTTAATACGCTACTGACTTCATATGTTTTTCTGTCTTTCGAATTTGCTTATTCCCTACTAACACCCCTCGCCCCACCTTTCTTTCTTTCTTTCTTTCTTTCTTTCTTTCTTTCTTTCTTTGATCTTTCAGATATAATATTCTTCTAGCATTTTATTATCCTTCAATTTCTAGCTTTTTCTACATCTTTAAAAGCTCCACGTCTCTTCCTCAAGGTCGTCTCTTCATCAACGTCACCTTTCATTTTATTTACTATCCTTTTCCTCTTCCTCCTGTTATCACAACCTTTCATTTTCTCTTACATTCCCTTCTTCTTTTTTCTTGTTGTTCTTGATGTTGTTGTTAATCTTCTTCTTCTTCTTCTTCTTCTTCTTCTTCTTCTTCTTCTTCTTCTTCTTCTTCGATGGTCAGGCTATTGAAAAGCTCATGTTCGTCATTCATAAATCCGGATGAAATTAAAATTAGCGATTAACAATATTTGTCTTGATTCAATATCTGAACGGATTTAGGTGGATTAAATCTGACAGAAATGTTGTTCTTACTACAAAAAATGTACTCAGTCACGCGCACAATCCCCTCTTTCTCTCTTTCTCTCAAACTCTCTCTCTCACTCTCTCTCTCTCTCTCTCTCTCTCTCTCTCACACACACACACACGGTTTCTATCTTGTATCTAAAAAAAAGATAAGACGACAAAAAAAGCAGATTCGGTTGCTAAGCGAGGTGTGCCTTCATAAGTACGCCACAGAAAATTACATTGAACATTTTAACGATTTGGATAATGTACAGAAATGTTTAGAAACGTGTGTGAATTGATATATTCATTCGTCCAAATACATGTCCTGTATTTAAGAAAAACAAGCGAAACTATAAGTGAAAAAGCCTCTTTAATCTGCTGCTGAAATATTATTTTTTCAATTAGTTTCTTCTATGTGATGTATCCGTCCAGAACTTGGGCAATCATGGCTCCCTGTAATTTACTATCCTTAACAGTTATTAGAAATTTTTGTTTCTTTACCATCAATCCCTTGCCCCGTTCTGCCATCCATTTACACAAGCTTATTAGGCAGGTTACTCACTGTTTCCCTCTACTTCTCTTGCCTTCAATATCTCCTGTGAGTATCAAATTCTCTAAGCCCTTTATTATCAATCCCAGTCCCTGTTCTGCCATCCATTTACACAAGCTTGTTAGGTAGGTTACTCACTGTTTCCCTCTACTCCTCTTGCCTTCAATATGTCCTGTGAGTATCAAATTCCCCAAGCCCTTTATTATCAATCCCTGTTCCTGTTCTGCCATCTATTTACACAAGCTTGTTAGGTAGGTTACTCACTGTTTCCCTCTACTCCTCTTGCCTTCAATATGTCCTGTGAGTGTCAAATTCTCCCAGCCCTTTATTATCAATCCCAGTCCCTGTTCTGTTATCCATTTACACAAGCTTGTTAGGTAGGTAACTCACTGTTTCCCTCTACTCCTCTTGCCTCCAATATGTCCTGTGAGTGTCAAATTCTCCAAGCCCTTTATTATCAATCCCAGTCCCTGTTCTGCCATCCATTTACAAGCTTGTTGGGTAGGTTACTCACTGTTTCCCTCTACTCCTCTTGCCTTCAATATGTCCTGTGAGTGTCAAATTCTCCAAGCCTTTTATTATCAATCCCAGTCCCTGTTCTGCCATCCATTTACACAAGCTTGTTAGGTAGGTTACTCACTGTTTCCCCTACTCCTCTTGCCTCCAATATGTCCTGTGAGTGTCAAATTCTCCAAGCCCTTTATTATCAATCCCAGTCCCTGTTCTGCCATCCATTTACACAAGCTTGTTAGGTAGGTTACTCACTGTTTCCCTCTACTCCTCTTGCCTCCAATATGTCCTGTGAGTGTCAAATTCTCCAAGCCCTTTATTATCAATCCCAGTCCCTGTTCTGCCATCCATTTACACAAGCTTGTTAGGTAGGTTACTCACTGTTTCCCTCTACTCCTCTTGCCTCCAATATGTCCTGTGAGTGTCAAATTCTCCAAGCCCTTTATTATCAATCCCAGTCCCTGTTCTGCCATCCATTTACACAAGCTTGTTAGGTAGGTTACTCACTGTTTCCCTCTACTCCTCTTGCCTCCAATATGTCCTGTGAGTGTCAAATTCTCCAAGCCCTTTATTATCAATCCCAGTCCCTGTTCTGCCATCCATTTACACAAGCTTGTTAGGTAGGTTACTCACTGTTTCCCTCTACTCCTCTTGCCTCCAATATGTCCTGTGAGTGTCAAATTCTCCAAGCCCTTTATTATCAATCCCAGTCCCTGTTCTGCCATCCATTTACACAAGCTTGTTAGGTAGGTTACTCACTGTTTCCTCTACTCCTCTTGCCTCCAATATGTCCTGTGAGTGTCAAATTCTCCAAGCCCTTTATTATCAATCCCAGTCCCTGTTCTGCCATCCATTTACACAAGCTTGTTAGGTAGGTTACTCACTGTTTCCCTCTACTCCTCTTGCCTCAATATGTCCTGTGAGTGTCAAATTCTCCAAGCCCTTTATTATCAATCCCAGTCCCTGTTCTGCCATCCATTTTACACAAGCTTGTTAGGTAGGTTACTCACTGTTTCCCTCTACTCCTCTTGCCTTCAATATGTCCTGTGAGTGTCAAATTCTCCAAGCCTTTTATTATCAATCCCAGTCCCTGTTCTGCCATCCATTTACACAAGCTTGTTAGGTAGGTTACTCACTGTTTCCCTCTACTCCTCTTGCCTCCAATATGTCCTGTGAGTGTCAAATTCTCCAAGCCCTTTATTATCAATCCCAGTCCCTGTTCTGCCATCCATTTACACAAGCTTGTTAGGTAGGTTACTCACTGTTTCCCTCTACTCCTCTTGCCTCCAATATGTCCTGTGAGTGTCAAATTCTCCAAGCCCTTTATTATCAATCCCAGTCCCTGTTCTGCCATCCATTTACACAAGCTTGTTAGGTAGGTTACTCACTGTTTCCCTCTACTCCTCTTGCCTCCAATATGTCCTGTGAGTGTCAAATTCTCCCAGCCCTTTATTATCAATCCCAGTCCCTGTTCTGTTATCCATTTACACAAGCTTGTTAGGTAGGTAACTCACTGTTTCCCTCTACTCCTCTTGCCTCCAATATGTCCTGTGAGTGTCAAATTCTCCAAGCCCTTTATTATCAATCCCAGTCCCTGTTCTGCCATCCATTTACACAAGCTTGTGAAGTAGGTTACTCACTGTTTCCCTCTACTCCTCTTGCCTTCAATATGTCCTGTGAGTGTCAAATTCTCCAAGCCTTTTATTATCAATCCCAGTCCCTGTTCTGCCATCCATTTACACAAGCTTGTTAGGTAGGTTACTCACTGTTTCCCTCTACTCCTCTTGCCTTCAATATATCCTGTGAGTGTCAAATTCTCTAAGCCCTTTATTATCAATCCCAGTCCCTGTTCTGCCATCCATTTACACAAGCTTGTTAGGTAGGTTACTCACTGTTTCCCTCTACTCCTCTTGCCTTCAATATATCCTGTGAGTGTCAAATTCTCTAAGCTTTCTCTTATTTTTCTGAAAAATTTCAACTCTTTTTAATTATGAGTTTCTTTTTTCATTTCAGTTTCCTTAAAACTTCCTCTTTGCTTATATGTTCTGCCCATATTAATCTCATCACCCTTCTATAGAACCACATGCCCTTTTTCTCAAGCCTTGTCTTCCTCAGAGAGGAAATTACCCTGCATTCGCTACCACATATGAGGATTTTTCATTGCATTTCATCATGCTTTTCTTTGTTTCTAATGATTTTTTTTTTATCGAAGCTCATATCGGAATCTTTGATTTTATTGCGATATTTAAAACGTTCTTCGCAAATTGTTAGGTCTACTGCTACGGAAATCTATTCCCTATGTTTTGCCAAGTTCTTTCTAATCAGAATCTATCTTGCACATTTCTATATCTACCATTTGTCCGTGCATTAAATATCGCCGTCATATATGGTCCTGGTGTATCTGTTGAAATTCTTGGCAAAATTCAAAGAAGGATCTGCAATGTAATCGATCCTGACCTGGCATCTCGACTTCAGTCACTTTCTTACCGACATGACGTGGCTTCCCTTTTTTGTTCTAAAACTATTTTCATAGAAACTGTTCTCATGCACTTTTTCTATCGTGCCTCGAATGTAAGATTTTAACCGTACAACTCGATTGGCAGTTCGGGCTCACTATTTTACTGTTGAACTAGCCTGATTCATCCGTCTCTCCTTTCTCTCACTTCTCGCCTGTGGAACTCCCTTCCGATTCATTGCTTCTCTACCACCGACAATTTAAAAAATTTAAATGCAATATCAGTCGCCATTTTCTGTCTTTCTGAACCCTGTTTCTTTCTTTTCTTTTCTTCTCTTCTCTCCTCCCTAAAGTCTTCTCATTGTCTTTCACTCCCTGTAACACCCTGCGTCTTAGTAGCATTATCGTCTTGCTTGGGGTGATATGTTAAAAAAAAATTGAAATGAGTACCTTAAACATTTCTTTAATATTTGTATGGATGAAGCAAAGAGAAGTGTTTTTCTGAAAACTCAAAATATCCTGGATGTACTCATAGGTTTAGCTTTTTAATGGAGGGTGGGGGATATGGCGAAAAGACAAATGTTACTAAGAGCTACTGTTGTATCCTTAAAGAGGTTACAAACAGACAAAGGTGGTACTCGAGGGAAGGAACAGCAACACGTGCGTAGATGAAAGAAGATAGGTTATATTGTTGTTATAGTGGAACAACCTATTACACCCCGACAGTGATTTGTCAGTCTAAAGAGACGTGAATGAGGAGAAAATAAAAGACGTGACGAAGTATTGTAGCAGCAGTACCACTACAGATCTCCGTGGCGTATCTCCCGTTTTACTTATTATTATTATTATTATTATTATTAAGAACTCTTACCCATTGTACTTTCTATACAATAAAACCCATGTTATTTGTTTTACCTAATTCCTGTGTTTAGCGTAATCTTTCTACTCGGAATTACCTAGTTGCTTATATCGTATTATCCACGATATAACAATTGTAAACGAAAATACACTACTGAAAGACAGGAAATCGGGTGGCAGGCTAGTAATTCCCGAACCAAGCCCCTAGCTATATTCTGTGCTCACTATATATAGATACTGATATAGTCAGTCCGCATAGGCGACAGGGAGTGTGGGGCATTCCATTACAACAGCTATAAAGGATAAGAAGTTGTGGAGAGCCATGATCGCTCACATCCTGATGGGAAATAGCTACATAGATGATGATGATGCCCCAAAAAGAGAAATTTTTTCAAATGTCATATATTGTAAGTGTAAGCAAAAGCACTTCATTCTTCTTAAGGTTACTTTCCTGCCACCGACAATCTTCAAAAATTTAAATGCAATGTCAATTGCCATCTTCTGTCTTCCTGGACCCAGTTTATTTTTTGC